TCTACTGTCTCCTGCACTCAAGTCTGGCTCTCTACAGCTATTGACTTTTTTCAGTGTTTCAGTCTAGTTATCACTTGTTTTATATCTTTGATTTTTCCCCCATTTGTTTCCCTTTCTGCTCCTAACTGGGCGGACAGAAACAGACAAAAACAGACAAAAAGAAAGGGTTTGACCAGCTGTTTCTTTAGCTATACTCAAACAATTGAATCCATCTCAGCTTTCCTATTTTGCCTTCTTTATTCACCTTTAACTATATCTTTTTCCTCCTGCCAATTCAAAAAGACAACCATTCTGTCATCATCCCAATTCATTAGAAACTGTATTGTGTCCAAAATGATCTACTCCTTGCTCTTTTTCCACTTCTGTCTCAACTCTTGTCTAAATTTAAAAATTAGACTGTTATAGCTATGTTAGTTAGGGTGTCTTTTTACGGACATAGCTATAGTTAGGGCTACGATTATGTCATGGAGGTCACGGAAGTCATGGCATCTGTGACTTCCAGAGGCCTTTGTGACATTTTCTGCCCTGGCTCTGGCTCTTAGCCGCTGCTGAGAGGGCAGGGGGCCTTGGAGCTCCTTGGGGATCTCTCAGAGCGCCCAGTCGCCACAGATGCCTGGGGTCTCCCCAGCAGCTCAGCTGCAGCAGGCGCGCCCCCCCCCCCCCCGCCCCAGCAGCCAGCCGCAGCAGGAGGAGGGCCGGGTGACCCCGCAGCAGTCCAGCCACGGCGAGCGGCAGGAGCCCCCCCACAGCAGCCCTGCCCTGGGGGCGGCGGGAGCCCCCTGCATCTGCCCAACCACCACAGCTGGGATTGGTGCCTGCAGCAGCCCAGCCGCTGTGAGTGCTGGACCCTCCTCCCTCCCCATTTTATCAGGGATATTTTTAATAAAAATCATAGACAAGTCATGGGCTTCCATGAATTTTTGTTTATTGTCCATGACTTGTCCATGATTTTTACTAAAAATATTTGTGATCAAATCTGAGCCTTAGCTATAGTGGCAGAAGCCCTATTCTGGAGGCAGTTACATCAGTACAGCTATGCTTATACCAGTCTATCTTTATGCCAATTCAAAGGAACTGGCATAAACTAGATCAGTATAAGTACATTTACACTGATATAACAACATCCATGGGTTTTGCCAATTTAACTATGCCAGTGTAACTACACTGGCAAAAATCTTAGTAGGATGATGCCACAGGTATGCCAAGAACTTTGAGCTTTTTACAGGTCTTTTCCCTGAAGTAGCCATCAAAGCTGTTGGTCCCTGTGATATGCTGAACGTGGCACTATTGTCCAGCTCAGCAGTCTACAGTTTTTCTATTGAAAATCTGTGAGCAGTGCAGAAATATTGGAAGGCATTCACTGTGGGTAAAATGCTGACCACATTGAAGTCAGCTGAAGTGTTGCTGTTGATTTCAGCATGGCTAGGGTTTCACGGTGTAAATGCTAGCAACACAATATGGATACCTAGGGCTAGGGTATGTAAGGGCCATTGTTTTCTTACCTAATACAGCTGCCTTTGTGGAAATATATATTTCCACAAAGACAAAACTTCGTTAAAAATTAGTTAAGGAGAATGCTCTCCTACATAATCCCTTAAAAGCAAGGGAATCTCCAATTGAAATATCCTTCTTTATAATACCTTAACCTCCATCACATCTTCATTTCACTGACAGACTACACACCTCTATTAATAAAACCTTTATACCTCTAACACACATAATGACAAAAAAGTATGTCACATACCTCATAATCACAGTAATGCAAAACCTTAACTGAGCAACATCAACATGCATGTCTGTTGGACACCTGTTCCTTTAATAGAACATATCTTTCTCTTGGATAATGAAAGATCAGAAAGAACCCTGATGTCCTTCACAGATAAATGATAAACACTATACTAGTCCATATTGTTCAGCATTATCTATGGTAAGGACAACAAGGTTATCGAGGACACAAAAGCAGTGTTCTTGTTTTTTCAGTTTGTTTTATTCATTTAAAGCAGTAGTGGGCAACCTGCGACCCGGAGGGTAATCCGCTGGCAGGCTGCAAGACAGTTTGTTTACACTGACCATCCGCAGGCACGGCTGCTCGCAGCTCCCAGCGGCCATGGTTCGCTGTTCCCAGCCAATGAGAGCTGTGGGCAGCCGTGTCTGTGGATGGTCAATGTAAACAAACTGTCTTGCGGCCCGCCAGCGGATTAACCTGAAGGGCCGCGTGCGGCCTTCAGACCGCATGTTGCCCACCACTGATTTAAAGGCATTCATCTGGCAAAATCAAGTGCAATATATCTATTTTGCATTGCTGCCCTGTACAGACTGGTACAGTTATTGTAATAGTGTGTGAGAAAGATAAAATAGAACACTAAAAATGAAGCTATTTCGTTCTGATTCACATGGGAATATACACGCAGATGAAAAATATCTTCTTTACACAGAATCATAAATGGAAGAGATAACAATATTTCACCTTTGTCTGCAAATCAGACATTTAAAAAAAAATTAGTTCCCTCGTAACATATCATACTAGTGATTTGTGCAGCTGCCAATGATACAGAAATGACAAAAAGTCATTTGAACGACAGCACATATGTGGACAAATTTCATGAATGAAAACTCACTTGTCTGTGCAGTTTCATGCATGTATTTTTGTACAATTGCTGCAACACCCTATATAAACTAAGTAACTGCACAGGAAAATTAATACCCCTTACTTAGCTCTTTGTATGGGCACTTGCATAGGCAAAATAGGGTTGCAATTGTGCATGCATTTTTGCACATGCAAGCACTGATTATTGAACCCCAAGAGTCAATATTAGAACATCAGTTAGCTTTTCTGGTGTGGTATGGGGAATGCATCATTTAGTCTCTGCAGGAGGAGGATAGAAGTTGGATCAGGAGGAGAGATGTAAGCAGACCAAGAATTTTCTGCAATGCTTTGCAGTTAACCTTCACAAAAACCCTGCCAGGTGGGTCAAAGTATTATACCTATTTTAAAGATGGAGAAATTGAGACTGAGGTTAAAGCAACAATTTTCAAAGGTGTCCATTCATGTTTGAGGCTGTTTTTGGATACCCAACTTTATTAAATTTGACCCCAAAGCTCCCATGGTGGTTATGCTGTATGTCTAAAAATCATGTCCGGCATGCCTATAAAATACCACACCCAAAACTGAGGCACTCAAAATCAATGGCCTAAATGACTTATGGCATGTCTAACTACAAACTTTTGATGCAGCACATTATATCGGCATAAAGTTGCTGTAGTTGAAATATGCATAATTGGTGCCATAGGTTGGTACAGCGCTTGCTCACTAGCAGAGGTGACCGTGTGAGGGGACATGCAGGTTCACGTGCCATCCTCCAGATTTGATGCTTGGCTTGTACTGAGCGTGCTCACACAGACTGAGCACACTCAGTAACACTGCTAAAGCCAGCTGCCCTCACTCTGCCACCCACTATCGGCAGTCACAGGTAATCTCTGCTCACTAAGAGTGCTCATGTCAGTGCATGATGTGGTGCACCATGGATAGGTATCCCAGAATGCAACTTGCCACCATACAGCACACTGTCTTTTGGGAAGTTATGGACATGCACAGTGGGGCTGAAACGAATCATGCAATATTGACTGGGAGCAAGGGAGCAAGTTCCCATCATGCAACTTTCTCCACCGCATAATGCCATCTCTGGCCCATAATTTTGTTCCTATTTTGAAAATCTCACAAACCCATGTGGGACTTGTAACTGTACATAACCTCTGACAGAAGCATGTGGGACATAATGAGAACCAATTGAAGATTGTTAGTGCCGTTCATGGAGCACTGTTTCTGGGCCCCGATAAATGAGCACTGACTGATGGGATCACAACATAATGCAGGTTTAGGATGATGAGCAGTAGCTGCAGAGCTTTTGGATGCACAAGGCCACGCTCCTGGATCTATGTGCCAAGCTCATCCCAGCCCTCCAGTGCAGGGACACCAAAATGAGAACTGCACTGACAGTGGAGCAGCAAGCAGCAATCAAACTGTGGAAACTTGCAACACTTGCTTGCTACCTGTCAGTGGAAATTCATTTTGGAGTTTGGAAAATCCACCTTGGGGGCTACTGTCATGCAAGCGTGCAGGGCTGTTAATAGTCTCCTGCTACACAGAACTGTGACTTATTGCTGATTGGTGCAGGAAAGGGTCCTACTGCAGAGGAGGAAATAAGGCGACCATTCCTAGAAAACTTGAGGAGAGGATTGCACAGTACCTCCATGAAAGTTTCATCAAGATCTCTCAGGAGGATTAAAGGGACATCCCTGTGTACACAAACAAACTGATCAGCGCTCTGCCCCTCCTAAAGGGGAATGAAAAGCCGATAACAACTCTCCCTCTCTTTGTTGTACTGCTACCTCTTCTAGTACAAGTAAATTAATGAAAAGTTGATAGCTGGATCCTGCTAAGTTGGGGGTGCCATCACTGTAATGGGAAATAAATGTACACACTTACCCAAGGTTTCTTTCCCTGCAATGGGCTCATCTATGCTCGACTGCTGGGACTGACTGGATTTTGGTGGAGTTTCAAATTAGTCCTGGCTCATGGCATAGCTGAACCCCCTGGTTGCATGTCCTCCATTCTCCTCCTCTTCCTCCTCCTGACTGTTCATGCCAGGGGCCCATGACTTGGGCTTTTGGGAGGTATCCACAGCGGCATGCGGGCTGGTGGTGGCTTCTTTGCCAAGTATGGCATGCAAAGCTCTTTATAAAAGGGGTAGGTCTGCAGCTTGACACCCGATCAACTGTTGGCCTCCCTGGCCGCCTGGTATTCCTGCTACAATTCCTTTGGTTTCAGGCCATACTGCTGCTGCTGATCCCTGTTGTACCCCTTCTCCTGCATCCCCCGTGCAATCTACTTGTACATATCTATGTTTCTATAGCTAGTCCATAGCTGTGCTTGCACAGGTTTCAGAGTAACAGCCGTGTTAGTCTGTATTCGCAAAAAGAAAAGGAGTACTTGTGGCACCTCAGAGACTAACCAATTTATTTGAGCATGAGCTTTCATGAGCTACAACTCACTTCATCGGATGCAAACTGTGGAAACTGCAGAAGACATTATATACACACAGAGACCATGAAACAATACCTCCTCCCACCCCACTCTCCTGCTGGTAATAGCTTATCTAAAGTGATCATCAAGTTGGGCCATTTCCAGCACAAATCCAGGTTTTCTCACCCTCCGCCCCCCCCCCCCGCACACAAACTCACTCTCCTGCTGGTAATAGCCCATCCAAAGTGACAACTCTCTTCACAATGTGTATGATAATCAAGGTGGGCCATTTCCTGCACAAATCCAGATTCTCTCACTCCCTCACCCCCCCTCCAAAAACCACACACACAAACTCACTCTCCTGCTGGCAATAGCTTATCCAAAGTGACCACTCTCCCTACAATGTGCATGGTAATCAAGGTGGGCCATGTCCAGCACAAATCCAGGCTTTCTCACCCCCCCCCCCCCTTCCCGGGGACACACACACACAAACTCACTCTCCTGCTGGCAATAGCTCATCCAAACTGACCACTCTCCAAGTTTAAATCCAAGTTTAACCAGAACGTCTGGGGGGGGGGGGAGGAAAAAACAAGGGGAAATAGGCTACCTTGCATAATGACTTAGCCACTCCCAGTCTCTATTTAAGCCTAAATTAATAGTATCCAATTTGCAAATGAATTCCAATTCAGCAGTTTCTTGCTGGAGTCTGGATTTGAAGTTTTTTTGTTTTAAGATAGCGACCTTCATGTCTGTGATTGCGTGACCAGAGAGATTGAAGTGTTCTCCGACTGGTTTATGAATGTTATAATTCTTGACATCTGATTTGTGTCCATTTATTCTTTTACGTAGAGACTGTCCAGTTTGACCAATGTAAATGGCAGAGGGGCATTGCTGGCACATGATGGCATATATCACACTGGTGGACGTGCAGGTGAACGAGCCTCTGATAGTGTGGCTGATGTTATTAGGCCCTGTGATGGTGTCCCCTGAATAGATATGTGGGCACAGTCGGCAACGGGCTTTGTTGCAAGGATAAGTTCCTGGGTTAGTGGTTCTGTTGTGTGGTTGTGGTTGTTGGTGAGTATTTGCTTAAGGTTGCGGGGCTGTCTGTAGGCAAGAACTGGCCTGTCTCCCAAGATTTGAGAGAGTGTTGGGTCATCCTTCAGGATAGGTTGTAGATCCTTAATAATGCGTTGGAGGGATTTTAGTTGGGGGCTGAAGGTGACGGCTAGTGGCGTTCTGTTATTTTCTTTGTTAGGCCTGTCCTGTAGTAGGTGACTTCTGGGAACTCTTCTGGCTCTATCAATCTATTTCTTCACTTCCGCAAGTGGGTATTGTAGTTGTAAGAAAGCTTGACAGAGATCTTGTAGGTGTTTGTCTCTGTCTGAGGGGTTGGAGCAAATGCGGTTGTATCGCAGAGCTTGGCTGTAGACGATGGATCGTGTGGTGTGGTCAGGGTGAAAGCTGGAGGCATGTAGGTAGGAATAGCGGTCAGTAGGTTTCTGGTATAGGGTGGTGTTTATGTGACCATTGTTTATTAGCACTGTAGTGTCCAGGAAGTGGATCTCTTGTGTGGACTGGACCAGGCTGAGGTTGATGGTGGGATGGAAGTTGTTGAAATCATGGTGGAATTCCTCAAGGGCTTCTTTTCCATGGGTCCAGATGATGAAGATGTCATCAATATAGCGCAAGTAGAGTAGGGGCTTTAGGGGACAAGAGCTGAGAAAGCGTTGTTCTAAATCAGCCATAAAAATGTTGGCATACTGTGGGGCCATGTGGGTACCCATAGCAGTGCCGCTGATCTGAAGGTATACATTGTCCCCAAATGTAAAATAGTTATGGGTAAGGACAAAGTCACAAAGTTCAGCCACCAGGTTAGCCGTGACATTATCGAGGATAGTATTCTTGACGGCTTGTAGTCCATCTTTGTGTGGAATGTTGGTGTAGAGGGCTTCTATATCCATAGTGGCCAGGATGGTGTTATCAGGAAGATCACCGATGGATTGAAGTTTCCTCAGGAAGTCAGTGGTGTCTCGAAGGTAGCTGGGAGTGCTGGTAGCGTAGGGCCTGAGGAGGGAGTCTACATAGCCAGACAATCCTGCTGTCAGGGTGCCAATGCCTGAGATGATGGGGCACCCAGGATTTCCAGGTTTATGGATCTTGGGTAGTAGATAGAATATCCCAGGTCAGGGTTCCAGGGGTGTGTCTGTGCGGATTTGATCTTGTGCTTTTTCAGGAAGTTTCTTGAGCAAATGCTGTAGTTGCTTTTGGTAACTCTCAGTGGGATCATAGGGTAATGGCTTGTAGAAAGTGGTGTTGGAGAGCTGCCGAGCAGCCTCTTGTTCATATTCCGACCTATTCATGATGACAACAGCACCTCCTTTGTCAGCCTTTTTGATTATGATGTCAGAGTTGTTTCTGTCTCTTCTCTCCACGCATCCAGGAGATCCACTAACTGTCTACTCCAAGCAAGAGCACATCTGGATCATGTAGCTGGCATGGTCAGCTGGGCAGTTGTGCACAACAGTCAAGAGCTGATAGGTGTGCTCTCCAAGCTGGACAATCAAGAAAAGGCATTTCAAAAATTTGAAAGGCTTTAAAGAGTGGTGTGGCCTTCCAATCTCTGTCACCACTGGGCAGTAGAGTTCACAATTCTGACAAGAATAGTCAGTATTGGATAGTGTTGGACAGTCGCTGGAGGACTGTTAGGGTTGATATACGTAATGCAGTGTCTTCCTTCATGCTGCATTGTCTTCAATACATCAGTCATTGCTCCATAGCGCTAGGGGAGGTGGTATTTATACGTTGGCATCTTGGAGAGCTTTCAGTGGGAGACATATTTAAAAGTAGATGCATGCAGCACTAGGTCAATGCAAGTCATCTTTCATCAACCTAAATTTGTAGTGTAGATCAGCCTTACTCAGTGTCACAGAGAGGGTCAGTATCAGTGAGGCTTAGAACTCATGAATTCCAATTTTGTGCTGAATCTAGTATTCAAGTAGAAAGAGGGAAGGACTGCAACAAAAGTTCCAAATGTCAATGGGGAAGGAGTAGTAATCCATTTGATATCCCTGTAAATCAAACTGGGTTCTTTCTGCTTCATACTTTACCAGCCATCACCAGTACATAAATAAATTTTATATTTTGGCTCAGATTGCCAAAGGCATTTAGGTGCTTAGATATATTTGATGATTTGGGCCTTAGTGTTTAGTTAGAAATTAGAGTCTTATGCTACACGGGCTACAATGGAATTATTATGCAGAGTACCTCAGAGTACCCCCTTCATGGACCAGGACCCCACTGTGCTAGGCTCTGTACAAACACAGAAGAAGAGATGGTACCAACAAGAATAAGACTTGCTTATTTTTGCAGTCATAGGCCATGTCTACATAGCAAACAAAGGTAGGGTTTTTTCAACTGAATTAGCCCCATTGAGTTAGTTTGACATAAACTATGTCTACATGGGTTTTCCAACTGACACCTTTACAACTATATTGGCCCAGTGGATCCATGGGTGTTAAGGAGACTTTCTTAGCATGCTAACTCAATTGAGCCAACTTCCCTGGGGAAAAAACAAAAAACCTCTTTTCATAGTGTAGTCATGCTCTTTTCAGAGTAACAGCCGTGTTAGTCTGTATTCGCAAAAAGAAAAAGAGTACTTGTGGCACCTTAGAGACTAACCAATTTATTTGAGCATGAGCTTTCGTGAGCTACAGCTCACGAAAGCTCATACTCTTTGTGGTTCTGCAGCGTTTATATTATCTGGGTGAAATTCATCTCATTGGAGGACCTCTGCACTACTTAAGCCCTGAAAGAAAATCCAGAGTTGCACAAACTGCATAGCCCTACAGAGAAATCTCTACACGCTTGGTGCATTTCAGAGAGGTACTCTGTGCAAGCCAAATAGGCTGGTGTGTAAGGGAGACTTGAGGGTTTGCTCAGAGTGATGCCATTGGTATCAGGTTTGCAGAGATCTGGTGGCTCAGAAACATCATATGGAGAGGAGTGAGCCACTATTCCAGCCAATTCTGATATGTGTGCTCCCAACTTGTACACCCACATCATGATCTGAGCACATGCAAGTCTGGTGCATACAACAGCTCATTAACATTTGTGTATTTTAAAAAAATCTAACCCTATTAGTTTAAATCAGCCTCAGCTGTACATCCACTGTATGTGTTATTTCAGTCCTGGTTTCTGCAGATCAAGAATATTTTGTGAAGTTCTTGTACCCAAAGAACAGAAGAGAAGACCCTCTTAATCTGTAAATAAAAGGATCCAGCCGGTATCACCCATGTGCATTCATAAAATGTCTACACATTGAGAAAAACTAAGTGTTTTAAAGTTACCGAAGTTTCCTCCCACATTCTAATGCATTTCTTAAATGCACTGTATCCTTCAATTTGTAGTAAATTGCACCTGCACGAGGCCTGGCACTATACTAGTAGCTGGATCCAGGAAGTAAGCGCTCTTCCTCGCTCCGAAGCACATTCTTAAGTGCTTGTCTGGGCTGAGGCCCAAAAGCACATTTCTTCTGTATGACTAAGGCAAGTTTCAGGGTTTAATATTGACAATGCTTTTCTGCATATACATTTGTTAAATGTTGACTGCAATGTACTTGTAAATATTAAGCTGTCTTAAAGTCAGAAAAGTCATAAATAAATGTAATTACCAACTAAAAGTTATTACTTAAATGTTAAAAGAAAAGGAGTACTTGTGGCACCTTAGAGACTAACCAATTTATTTGAGCATCCGATGAAGTGAGGTGTAGCTCACGAAAGCTTATGCTCAAATAAATTGGTTAGTCTGTAAGGTGCCACAAGTATTCCTTTTCTTTTTGCGAATACAGACTAACACGGCTGTTACTCTGAAAACTACTTAAATGTAGTTAGTAGTATAGATTACCACCATTTTATTATCATAAATCAGGCTTTCTACCAAGAATCCTTTGCACATATACACATTTTTCACATTAATCTTTTAAAATCTATTATTAAATTTAGAAATGTGTTGTGAATGCTGGTGCTGTCAACTAAAATCAGTTATTCATCTGCCATAATTAATACCCTCAATTACATTGCAATTTTCCCCACACTTGTTCTGTGCTTATATCAGTGTTGCCAAAGAAAGCATTTCCTCAATATAGAAATAATTATCAGTTCACATTTTGTGCACACAGAACTTCCCTGAAGTCAGGCAGATTTTATCTGGCTAAGGAGCGCAAAAAATCAGCCTTTGTGTTAATTTTCCAGAAAACAAAAGGTCATATTTTGCTATTGAGTTTTAAGTAGTACTGCCCAATAAAGGCAACAGGTCTGATTCTACTCTCATCAGCAGTAACCACACTGGCGTCAAAAGAGTTAAATCGTTGTTGTTGTTGTTTGTATTATAGTGTGATTGGTTTATGTTTTTACTCTGTAATGGTTTAAGACCATTGTTTATTGTAGTTTATATTACAGTGTAAAAACATATAAAGAGACATTCCAAAGAATTTACAACCTAAATAGACTATATAAAGGTGGAAGAAAAAGTATTATCTCCATTTTACAGATGGGAAACCGATTCATAGATTAAGTGATTTGCCCAAGGTCACAAAGGAAGTCTAATGAAATCAGCATTGCTAACATTGCTTATTTAACAGAAACATCAGCTCGGGTCTTCCCTACTTTTGCTGGAATCACAGAGGATGCATATTGTTAGGATTGTTAGGTCTCACAACTTATGGGGCAGTGGTGTTGAAACTATAACACACACTTCCTTTTTCCAGAATGTTAGTTACTAGACAGTAAGAGAGGCTACCAGAACAAGCAAAACTGTAGGTTGAGGTCTGATTAAAAATTCATTCCCTTCTTAATTTACACTCTTAGTAGAAGTCAGCAGTGCGCTGGTTCTCCAGTCATCCATCCTGTAGCTTAGAGAGGATTCAAATTTCTACTGTAAAAAAAGGTGCAAGGGAAAAAACAAACAAAAACAAATGCTTTCAGACCTTCTACACATTTCATAAAGGATAAAAAACAAAAAAAACAAAAACCACCACCAAAAACATACACCCATTTTTTTAAAGGTCACCTTTAAGACTTCTCACAAAAAACCCAAATCATACTTAGTCATCTGATATGTTAATTTTTATGTATGATCCAGTAATATTAAAAATGTTCATCTCTGGATCCATTCACTCTATCAATTTCCAAACTGGACCTTTCTGTGAGTCTTAAGACAGAACAAAGTGATATTTTAATAAATATAATAACCACATTGACATGAAACATTTCAGGAACATGAAAAACATTTGACTAAACAGCACAAAGACTAGAAAAGCAACTGTTAAGTTATATTACTAATTTGGAGAGAAAAAAATTATGTTAATGAGGTTCAGTCTTGTTGTACTACTATATTGATCAGTGGCATTGTCAGGTTAAAATAAACAAATATGCTTACTTATATGATAGACACCACCCTCTGTTAAATGAAATAATTTTGAAAAACACTGAGATTTTCAAAAGTTGGTTAGTCGTTGTTTCTCATACTGGACAATAAGAATAAAATAGTCTGTTTGACTTTCGATCATAAACCATTTCTATTCACTTTCAGCTTCTCATGCACTACACACATATTTGAGTTACAAATCCCCTAGGGTTTGTCCTGATAGCATGTCATAATATAGGTAACTTCTATATTTTACAAAGGTTCAGTGCCTTGTGATGAAAGCAAATAATTAGATTAGATTTACTCCCTGTGACAAAGCTCTGTCCTTGCCTCCGTGGGTCCCGTGTTTCCTGGCGGATTTCGCTAGCCTCAGAGGCTCACTGTGACCCTCCACATAACCCTTCTCTCTCTAGACACAAAGGTCACAGCGTACTGAGCCATTTTCATCATAAGCCAGCAAGGGAGGTGAGGAGAAGTTATTCTTCTTTGCACAGGCTCTGTTGTCTCCAAGTCTCAGTGATTAATCAGGGGGCAAAGATTGGGGGGGGGGGAGCCTGGGCCCACCCTCTACTCTGAGCTCCAGCCCAGGGACCTTAACAGTATCAGCTATGGTAGCTGACCTTTTAGAAACATGACATGTACAATTTCCTGGGCTATTTCCCCCACAGCAGCCCTCACTTCCCTCTTACCTCAGGGCCCCCTTCCTTGTGCCTGATATGGTGTGTACTACTCAGTCTCTCCAACAGCACAACTTCCTCCCACAGCTCCTGATATGCACACCCACCTGACTAACTGGGAGGCTTTTAACTAGTTTCAGCCAGCCCCTGATTGGCTTCAGGTGTCCCAATCAACCTAGCATTCTCCTTGCCTTCTGGAAAGTTCTTAATTGGCCCCAAATGTCTTAATTGATCTGGAGCAGCTGCCATTTCACTTAACCTGGTACCAAGGATTTGTTTAGCCTGGAGCTAATATATCTATCTCCCACTACTTTTCTATAGCCATCTGGCCTTGCCCCGTCACATCCCCTGATTTCTTCTGGAACTGCATAGTACTCCCTTGTAAAAATTTCTTAGCAGTGACCCTAGTGCTAATGGTAACTCCACTGAAAAATGTAAGGATCAGCTGATCAGCACTCGATAACAAACTTTCAGTAGGAAATGGGTATTCCTCAGCTCCCTGATTAGGAGCAAGGTGGCTTTTGTAAAAATAACTAGATACATGAATATTTTATCAAAACAAATGTATTTGTAATTTTTATTCAAATATTTTCCGCTTAAAGAATGGATATTTCCCCCACCTTCCCTCCCTGCCATTAAGAAAAACAAACACAAACCACTGGACTTCTTAATGGAGTTCTCAACACTTACTTTGCTATGCCTTGAATTACATAATTCCTGGGACTACTTTCTATAGATTTTTCCTCCAACTATTTATCTAAACGTTTCTTCAAGTTTTCTAGATCTACTGCATCAACATCTTGTAAAATTAGTACTGTTGCTTTAGACTGAAAGGGATTAAATTCAATAGTCATCAAACAACAAAGATCTATCAGTTCTCTTTGGCATTTCTGCAAACCATCCTTAAGCTTCTGATGTAGAATGGGATCTTTCCTTAACTGTTTCATTTCAGGCACTGAAAATCCAATTAAGCTTGTTAGAATTTCATCAGCAATGTCTACCTCTAGATAAGCGGTACCATCAGAGATTTTTGCCATTATATTCCAGAAGCCACTGCTGCTTGTGAGATTTCCAGTAAGGGTTACAATAAAGGCTTTAACTTTCACTGTTGTAACAGTTTCTGCGGTATTTGCAAGTAGAACAGAAATATATGTAAAAGGTGGGGAATCTAACTCAAGACTTTTGCATTTCTCTGTTGTTCTGTAAGAAAAGGTTTGTACACAGTAATTTTGTTTGTTTATCTCTGAATCAGTTTTTGAAAAATTAACTGGTCTTTTGTTTAACAATCTACTGCCAGAAAAACTACAATTTTTTTGACTGCTCTTAACTACATCTATCTTATTACACTTCTGCTCAAGAACATGTTCCAAGGAGAAATCGTTGGTAAAGCTCTTGGAGTGTTGTACATTATGATGTAGTGAAAAATTACTTGTACTACTTTCATCACCAACAGACAGTTCTCTCCCACAGGATTTTTCTTTGCTAACTGAATCCAACTGACCTCTGTCATCTTTTTCAGATGTGTAACTTAGTGAAGATCTTGGCATATGTGAAAATCTTTGTGTAATGATATCTATGGTTTTGTTTATGACCGGTGACTGCATTGTCTGAATTTCTTCTTGGATCGCCTCTTCTAAAAACAAGTCATCTTCCAATGAGAAGTCATCTAAATCTCCATCAACATCCTCCATAGCTGGAACACTTTGTTCTTCATTTGCCCCAGGCAAAAGGATCCCAAATCCCTGTTGTGAGTAGTTTTCATTGCTTGAAAGGAGCAAATGTGTGGCTGTATTTGAGTTGTTACTTCTGCTACAATATCCACTTTCTAAAGGAACTTCAGGATTTATGGTAAATTCATCATTTTCATCAAGACTTGCTAGAAGCTCTTCATCTGAAGGTCCTAGAGTTTGTCCTAGTTCATCAACAGCTCCTAAAATGCCTTGTTCATGATCATGCTGCTTGACAGGATTAGGGTTCTCAGCTTCTCCAATTACCCTGGCAAGGACTCTTTCCTGAGCATAGTCCTCCAGAAGAGCATCTACTTCGCCCCCCAACAATTTAACATTTTCTGATTTTAGCAAAAGAACTCCAAGACGATATGCAATGTTACCCTGTATTGTAATTTTTGTACCTGGAGGAAGATTACTATGGAGGACAGGAATGGGTTGGTATTCCATACCCTGAATTTGATGTATTCCATCAGTTAGCTGCAGCATCAGCATTCGGGTAGGCTTTGCTTCCCAGGACTTTTGGGGTGCCTGAGTGTTGGCTGTTACTTCTTCATTTACAGTATTTTTTCCTCTAATCTTTTGCAACTGGGAATATGCAGGCTGGCTAACATCCACCAGTGAATCAATCTGTATGGAATAAAAGCCATTCAGTTCTCCTTTTGGACCATCTAAGATACAATCAGGCAAAACAGGATAGTCCAAATCTCTCAGATCTGTAAGAAGCCACTGTTCAAATACCTGTTTGTTGATCTGAGCTTGAGTTAAATTACAACCATTTTCTTGTTGGATCCAGTTAATACAAGCTTCTAGCCACGTCAGAGGAACTTTAACATGCCACGCAGAAGAAAGCCAGGTTTCCACTTTTCCTGCAACACTAGATGCACTCATTTTCTTTTAAGTTATAGGAAAAATGCATGAATCCCCTAAAAAGAAACAAAAAAAGTTTATTCTTGGGCCACTTACCATGGCAACGCTTTAATGTGGTTGTGTAGTCATAGCTCCAGCGCTGGGAGACAGCTCTCCTGGTGCTGTAATAAAACCACCTCCGTGAGGGGAGGCTCTAGGCGCTGTAGCACTATCTACACTGCCATTTTACAGCACTGAAACTTGCATTGCTCAGGGGGGTGTTTTTTCACACCCCTGAGCGAATAAAGTTTCAGCGCTGTAAGTCTCAGTGTAGACAAGGCCTAAGTATCCAGCTGGTCACCAGAAAGAACTGAGAAAGTGTTGAGATTTTTACTGGGCTGCTCTCCCTAAACCCATCTTGGTGACTCCATCTTTTGTACAGACTTCTGACAAGCCTGTGACTCAAAAATCTTTCTTCTTGCTGGCAGAAAGAACGCTTGCTGTCATTGTCTCATCTCCCTCCCACCCTGCCAGATTAAATAGTGGAAAGCAGGCTGGGAAGTCCTCCTCAGCCTCAGTTTATGTTTGCTTTCTTCCTCCAGGAATGGCTCTAGTACCTTCTCTACTTTTGACAGGAACACGGTCCTTATTTTCACTGCTACTAATAAGCTTATGCGTAGAAGTGACAGGACCCATCTATTCTATGAGCAACTCAGGGGATTTGTGTACAATTATGGCACAGAGGGGACCTTAAAAGTGCTGTAACTGGATGAAAGCGTTAGAACTAAAGTAGTATCTAGATATGTCCAAGTCTTGAATCCAGTTGCAAAGTACTTTTAAAGATGTGAAATCATACAACCAGGCACCTTGACTAAACTGAAATTCCAGGTAGAGGTGGTCCCAAATTGTAGCCGTGAGGCCTTGAGGAACACCCATATTACTAATAAAAGCTCTTTGAGGGTTATATGGTCTTAAAAACTGATCAACAAAAGAAACAAGAAATTCAATAAAACATACACAGCTAGGTTGTATCCTTTTTTACTTCATTATTATGTAATCAGAAAGCTTAAAGTTTTATTATTGCTGTTTTTTATTTTTAAAGGAGCTATAGAAGCATTATAAGAGCAGAGGTTGATAAGACCTTTCTCCTCCATGAAATTCTAAATTATATATTAGTCTGTGGCAAAAGCCACCCTGGCCTAAACTTCTGCCTGAATCAGTCACGTTGCAAGGCAAGCAGACCTTCTCCCCCACGTGAGAAGAAAGCAGTGTGTTCACACATTTATGGGCCTGGTCATCCTGTGCAAGTAGGAGCTCCTGACTTCAGTATGATTACAATGAGACGGACTGTTTTGCTATCAGTTTTGCTGCCTCGGGCTTTGCATTTGCAAACTGTTTTTGTCATTTGTCTTACAGTGTCGTCTGCAGTGGAGTAGGTGCCCCACAGACAGAGGGCAACGCAGGCCCTGCCCCAAAATCAGTGGCTTTAGCCGCTTTCCAACCAAGAGCGGCCACTGGTGCCGCCCAGGCATGCGGCTGAGAGCGTTCTGAAAGCGGATCTAAGAAACCATCGTGAACACCCTCACCACCTAGCTGCGGCGCTCGAACCGGTTCAGAGCGCAGGCGCCATGGCCGCTCGGCTCTAGGCAGAGCGCTGGGGACGGAGCCCGGCTGCACGGTGCTGTGACTGTCACGACCCACGGGCAGTGGGGCTGGCGGGATTAGAGGAGAGCGTGCTAGGTACCAGCCCGCACCAACCCCGGCTCGCGGGGAGCGGCCCCACTTACCCGCACCCGGGGCGGGGCAGCGAGCCAAGCGGCCAGGAAAAGGCAACAGAGACCATTCCTCCCGCCCCTCATAGCGCGCGCGCGCACGGTCTGGATGCGCAGAGCCAGCCGTGCTCCGCACCGTCCCCACGACCCGAGCCTAAAATCTAACGATCGTTTACAGCCGGGAACTGCCCGGCCAAGCGCGCGCGACTTTGAACCTCGCGAGAGTTTCGCCCATCTCGGAGACGGACGAGGGAGGCGGAGTTTTCACAAACGCCATTTTCTCGCCATACGACGGAGGTCGCTCTTGCTTCCCTTACACCGCCCGCTGGTTCTTGTTGCTGTCGAGGCTTTTATCGTGACTCCTGCCTGTCAGGTAAAGGGTGTCCGACATGCCAGTGCGATGCAGAGCGACCGGAGAATAAAGCCGGGCACCTTTCTTACGGTTTTCGGGCCCAAATAGATTTGCGTAGCTACCACGGAGGGCGGGGCTAAATGGGAACCGCCTGAGGCGTGATGGGCAGCTCTATTAGCCAATAGAGCTGTGGCGTGCCATCTTGGGTTGTAGGCTGAGCCAATGGGCTGAAAGTGCTGTGTGTGCGCGCGTTGGTGGGGGGGGGGCTGTTCGTTCCCACACCCCTTTCTTTCTCGCACTCGAGTCGGTGGGGCAGGCGACTGGTGCGTCGCTGCTTGGGACGAGAGAGCGCGCAGCGCGGTAAGACGTAGCCTGGAGAGGCCGGCCCTGAGGAGAAAGGGGGGCGATGCAGCGCGTGGGATTCCTCCTCCCGCTATAAATGAAGTAGGGCCCCGTTTGCGCCAATCCGTCTCCGTCTCGAGACACAGTGAGGCGGGCGGCCTGGTTGTAACTGTGCATCAGCCTACACTGTCACGCTGCCAGCTCTCTTCCCTCACCAGGGCACTGCCTCCTTTGCCCGAGGGCAGACGTCTTCCCCCTTTGCGGGAGTGGGTTGAGCAGATCCGTGCCCTGAGGGATTGTAGCCCCCCCCCCCCCGGTCGGTTCTCGCATACGCCGAGTCTCTCCCCCCTTCCCTCCCGCAGTCGGACCTGGCGGGTTGGGGGCGGGGTGATCTCTGCGGGCTTGTTTTGCTAACTCGGTGTGGGGGACTGGCTGTTGGGGGATCATGGCGCGTAATCGGGGAGAGGTGTCTAGCGTGCGTGGTGGCCCGTGCGGGGCCTGTGTCGATTTTTGCAGGATCTGGGTTGGGTCTCGGATCCCGCAGGGCGATCATGGCGGCGGCGAGGGGGGGGGCTTCTTTCTTGTTGGGAGGCCTTTATCCGCCCGGGCAGGCCATGGTGCGAGGGCTCCTAGGCGCCTCTTTTGTGTCCGCCCGGGCAGCCAAGGGGTAGGCCTTCGTGTGACCGCGTGGTGGTGGCTTTTCCGCTCCCGGCTCCGCCTAGCAGCGCGTAGGCGCCATTACAGCGGCCGCCATTTCTTTTCTCTGAGCTGCCGCCGGGAAAGAGAGACGCTCCGGAGTCATCTCGGGGGGAGAAGAGGAGATTATATAACTCGGCCAGTCGGCTTCTTTCTCCCTCTCTCCCCCCCCACCCCCTCCGGGAGCGGGACAGCTCTATCAGATCCGACACCGGGAGCGGCCGAGTCCGGAGGCGCGGCTGCTCGCTTCTCAGACAGCGAGTATCCCGCTTGTTGGGCGAGTGGGTTGGGGTGGCGGCCCACCCTGCCCCACTTCTCATCGCGCGGTGCGGCTGTTGTGGCCAATCTCGGCTAAGCTCCTCCCGTCCCGATGCGCAAAAGGGTTACACCAGCACAGGGCAAGTTGTAGGCACTGTAATCTCCCCTCCACTGCCCTATTGAGTATCGGTTCTTGTACAGTATTTATGGCTTGCTGCTACGTTATTCGTGTAATGCTTTTGGACTGGCACTTTCTAGCCTAGCACTATAGCCAGCGTGAATTAGTCACACACCAGTCCCGCTTGGGAGCATTCGAGCCGCCTGTAAGCAGCTCAGTAAATATGGAGCATACCAATGCCCAGTTTTATGGGCTTTCCTGATGGCGTTAGGAGCAATGGAAATACGGCTCGGAAATGTCACGGTTACATCCCCAGGCCATATATTCACAATCGATTTGAACTTTTTGGAGTTCACTTTTTTTCCGCAATTGTGGCAGAAATATAGACTTGAAAATATGTTTGCACTAATCTTTTTTTTTATCCCCGAGTTAATAGTTAATTTCAGAGAGTTAATACATTTACAAAGGCTAGTTTGGGCGCTCCCCAAATATTTTTTTCCTAGAATAATGCAATGATTTATAACAATACTATGGATATTGCCCATTTGTCTGCATAAAACTGTTAAATATCCTGAATTAATCAACAGTATTAAGTCAAACTTCAGGTAGAGAATACCAAGAATTCTAAACCAGCATGGAGTTTTTGTTAGCCTAGGAAACCTATTTTTTGATGTATTTAGTTGTTGAAATGTTACTTAAAGAATACTGTGCAAATCTATACTTAATAGGATTTCAGACAATGCAATTTCTGAACATTCTTACGCAAGCAGGCAAATGTATAGTTTACACTTGAATATATTTTACTGCTTTTAACGTGTGATAGCAGTTGTATGTGTATACATGAGTGTAAAATATGCTTGTGCAGTGCTTTTAGTAAAGTTTTCCTAAACTTACAGGTAGATCTTTTATCATTCTAAAGACTCACAGCTGATATTGGAGTTAAAAGCCCTATTAAAAACAAGTTGATGTGGCTAATAAATTGTTACTGGCTTTTGTAATTGTGCTTTAACTTGAGTAGTCTCTCCTGTTTACAGATAGACCGTGGAAACCCCTCAAAATGAAATGTGCATAAGTCTAAAGTGTTAGTGTGCTGTGTGTAATAAGGATTGATTTGTCTCATTTAATTTTAGAATTTGAAGTTCCCATTTGTTGAGTGAAAGGTGAATACTGAAATGTTGCTAAACGTAATCTGAAAATTATGAACAAATGCAAAACAATATTTCAATAACTACATATTGACTGGAAGTGGGAAAAATCAGTTGTTGGCCTTTTTATGTTAAGGCCTCATGCTGTCTGAGTTCTAAAGAAAAACTGTATAATAGCGTTTACAGTGGAAAGCTCAATGCGTCAGCTTCAGTGTACTCTTGTTCTAGACTGTGTAACTGTAAATGAACAAGACTAAAATTAATGTATGTTGGTTTTCATAGGCTATTGAAGCAATAGGCTGTTGGTTTTGATCCCGCCCAGAACACTTCAGTTTTGCTCAGCAAGGATATATAATCGTAAGTTCTAGAAGCAGTTGTCTCTTTGATTGTTCTTTTTAGCAAGATGCACAGTTTGATTTTTTCTATAAAGAGTACTTGTGCTAGCCTTTTTATTCTTTGACAGGTTCCGTTTACTAGTCTAAAAATAAAAGGTAGTGATGGAGACCGAGCAGCAAGAGGAGACCTTTACCAACACAGAGACAAATGGTAAGTTCTATAAAAGCTATATGCAAGTATATATAGCGAGTAAAATGAACAGTTTAGGAGGGAATGTTCCCAATGTCCATTTTTGCTTGATTATTGGAAGCATTTTAGTAATTGTGAGTACCAAATTCTTGTATGTTTAGCCTTGAGACAATTTTAAGCATTTCTATAAAGGCTATATGCTTTTAAATACTTTAGAAGGCTTAAATTGTTAAAATACTAATTGCATTCACAAATTCAATAACTTAGATGTACTGAATGTTTTCAAGACAGTAGGTCGCAGTACCTCTTATGCATTGACTGTGACACTTCTGAAAATTTCTTAATGGTCAAATAACGTTACATTTTGAATTTTGATTCAGTGCTATGAGTTTGGCTATCTTGTCAGTGCATTACTGCGTGTTCTTGTTTAGCATGTGTGTATGTGTATATACAGATGTTAATCAAATAAGTATAAAAACTAAGGATTTAAAAATTGTTTTATCTATCCATTATTTAGCTCGTATTTCTGGTCAATAGAAGCAAGTACTAGTCAGCGTCATTATTGCAGCTTTTATTTACTTAGTATTTTGCACAAAAGAACTACAGATAGTATGCATTGCTTACTCAGGATCTTCTGATCAGTGGCAAAATTCAAAACAGCAGCAGTAATTCAGCTTTCATAGTAATTGATGCCAGCTTGTAAAGAGAGTATTTGAATTGTTGCATTGCAAATTATTCCAGTAGTACTCAGCAATGGGGTAAACTATTTTCAACCTTTTGGATATGTTCGTGTTAATCTTTTGAGAATTTTGGAAGTTGTAAAACAGCACTACTGTCATCATAAGTATATCTTAATAAATGGTGTAGACCTAAATTTCATAAAAGCGACAAACCCCCAACATCTTGGTTTAGACTGTACTTCATAGATTATAAATGATTGCGATATTAAGATCACCATTCTGTAAGAATGTTAATTACCACAGTTTTTGCATTGGAATTGTGAATTATTTTGGTTACAAATATTCAGTATATTTAGCTTTTGGATTTGACATTGGTATCCGCTTAATCAAACAAAGTTTGATCAGGAACATTGGTGTCGAAGTGCACACATTTTGAATATGGCATAGCGAAAGCTAAATGAGTGTTTGCATTCCTTCCCTATGAAACTATAGGAAAACGTCCTGCAGAAGATATGGAAGAAGAACAGGCTTTCAAAAGATCTCGCAACACTGATGAAATGGTAGAACTGCGCATCCTGCTTCAGAGCAAAGTAATATACTTGAAATATGTTACCTCTTTAAAGTGTGTAGTAGCAATTATGCAGGCAATCATAGCAAAGCATATAATCTTGGTGCTTGAGTTTCTAGTTGAAGGTTTATAAACAAAAATGTAAAATAAAACTTTATTTTTCACTCTGCTGAGAGAACTAACATACAGTGTTGTAGCAGAAATAGCAACACCATGTAGTTCATCTTTTAAAATAGTCAAATGAAACTTGATTGTTTGGCATATTGAATGTGGTGATGGCATGTTGCAGATAAAAAGTGATTTTTTTTTATGATAGGTTTCAGAGTAGCAGCCATGTTAGTCTGTATTCACAAAAAGAAAAGGAGTACTTGTGGCATTTGTTAGTCTCTACTCCTTTTCTTTTTTTTTAATGTAATTTTACCGGGATTAGTCCTTAGTGATTTTTAAGGTCTTACATTTTA